TTGGGGTTCAGTTCAGTTGGTAGTGGGATTGGAGGTGGCGTTCAGAGCAGTCTGGATCCCCTGTCTCCTTCCCGTCAGGGCAATTCCGCGGCACAGCGGGCTGGCCCTTCTCAGCGCGGAGTATGCGCGCCTCCGGGACCTCCTTTCGCCGCTTCCCCAGAGTCCCGCCTTACAGCCCGGCTCCCTATGGATGAGCCTGGGTCCCCGGGGTCCGGCCTAGAATTCGGGTTCAGAGCAGTTGGAGCTGGGCCCAGCACAGTCGGAGCTTTTCTCTCCTTCCCGCTTGGGACCGCCAGCCAGGCACTCGGCCTCCCTCCTCTCCGGCTCTGTCCTCTCTGCGCAACGCGTGTCTCCGTACGTTGGGCTTCTACAGCTCCTCCGCGCTTCCTTCTGGTTTTCTCCTTGCTTCTTGTTGTAGAATTTCCAGTCAGTCGACTTTCCTGTAGTTCTGGGTAATGTCCATTTTATATTTTAGTTGTATTTTGTTGAAATTGTTGTGTGCGGCTGTGGCTAGTTGCCTACCCGAGCAGCCATCTTGGATTCTCTCATCGATGTTTCTCAAGTGTGGTATTATTTTTATTTTAAGCACCAAGAAGATGATTTTTCGTTGAAGTTATTTTATTTTATTTTATTTTATTTTATTTTAATTTTATTTTTTTGTGTGTGTCTTTCCACAATGCTAGGTTTTATTAGGAAAGACTTCCCCAATAATCCAAAAAAGTAACATGCTGCTTAACACAGAGAGAGGGGGAGCTTAGAAGTGAGCAGAGCGACATCATCCCAACATGCCAAGGTTGTGAGTTTGATCCCTGGTCAGGGCACATAAAAAGATCAATCAATAAATGTATAAATAAGTGGAACAATAGATATCTCTCTTTTCATTGAAGTTATTTTAAACTATATAATTTTACTGGCGTAAGAGCAGCAGCTGATTTCCATTGATTATTATTATATGCAGACCCATAGAGGCTTCAGTCCACAAAAGAAAAAAAACTGTTCTTAGGTTTGCTATTGATGGGTGCCATTCATAAGCCTTTTAAAAAAAATTTTTTTTTACATTTTATTTTTTATTTTTTTAATTTATTTATTTTTTATAATATATATTTTTTTATTAAATTATTATTTTTGTACATATACCAATGCCCCCCCTCCCGTACATACCCTTCCTCCCCAGAGTTCTGTGTCCATTGGTTGTACTTATATGCATGTATACAAGTCCTTCGGTTGATCTCTTATCTCCCCCAGATCTCCCCAACCTCCCTGCTGTAATTTTAGTCTGCTTGTTGCTTTACTGTCTCTATATCTATCTTTTGGTTCTTCAGTTTATATTGTTCTTTATCATCCATAAATAAGTAAAGTCATGTGGTGTCTCTCTTTCATTGACTGGTTTGTTTCACTCAGCATGATGTTCTCCAATTCCATCCAGGTTGCTGCAAACAATGAGAATTTTTTCTTTTTTATGGCTGCGTAATATTCCATTGTGTAAATGTACCATAGTTTTTGGACCCAATCATCTGCTGATGGGCACCTAGGCTGTTTCTAAATCCTACCTATTGTAAATTGTGCTGCTATGAACATAGGGGTGTATATATTCTTTCTGATTGATGTTTCTAGCTTCTTGGGATATATTCCTAGGAGTGGGATTACTGGGTCAAATGGGAGTTCCATTTTCAGTTTTTTGATGAAGCTTCATACTGTTTTCCACAGTGGTTGCACCAGTCTACATTCCCACCAGCAATACACGAGGGTTCCTTTTTCTCCTCAACCTCGCCAACACTTGTCGTTTGTTGATTTGTTGATGTTGGCCTCAAGACTTTTTACATAATTGCTTAGTGGGGGGAGGTCTTAGCAATGTTAAATTCTCTTTGCCTCTCCCAGGAACAAGCAGTGATAGTAATTGTATTTAGGTTTTCACATCCCACTCCTTTGGTGTTGATGCTAGCCAGAAAAAAACCTCTCTTTAATTCTACACATAATGTAGCTGTAGTTTGATTCTCTGTCATATAAAAAAGGGAAGCTGGGTGGGGACAACCATGTCATTATACTTTGCCAATATACTTACTATACTAGGCCGGGGATCAGTCCACGTAAGGAATTTTACCCAAGGAGGACTTCCCCATTAGCCCTTGGTGATATTACCGCACAGCTGGTGATTGCCAGCATGGCAAGAAAGACGTTTTCAGGTGTTCTTAGGTTTTTGCCCTCTTCACAAATTCGTTCAGGACCATCTTCTTTAAAACTCCCAAGTCATCTCTAGGCTGTTCATCATCCACTGTGTTCTTCTTCCACTCCTCATCTTCAGTGTGTTACCTGGGGCTGCTGCTGTCTGTGGCTGGGGTAGCCAATTGTCTGCAGCTGCAAGGTGTGGCTCCAGGTGCAAGGTCCTCATTAATCTGGGTAGTTCTTCTCTCAGATCCATGCTGCAGTTTAATATTTCTCATAGGAATCCACACAGGCTTGGAGAAATTTTCTGGAAATATACAAGCATACCCTCAACCACATATTAGCAAGGGATCAGGTCCCTTCCATAATCCAGACTTGGGATCTTTCCATTTAACTAGACCATTTTACTTTTTTTTTTTTTTTAATTCTGACACCAGTATAACTCCATAGTTGTCTTGCCATTAGTATCAGAAGTGAAAACTTTTAGAGTAATTAAGGCTTGCTGCAGCCTACCCATAGATGATTTCTCCATAATAATACCCCCTTTTTGTTTTTAAAGTTGGGATTTTAGCTGCTGATGTTATTGTTCAATAATGGCCTGTCCCTGGGAATTATATGATAGTACTTTAATGTGCTGAATTTTTCACTTTTTACAAAATTGCTGGAAATGACAGCTTGTGTAAGCAGGCCCATTATCAGTTTTAATAATTTTCTGAATTCCCATGATGACAAAATTAGCTAGGCAATGATTAATAACCTGTTTTGCTGTTTCCCCTGTAAAGGCGGTAGCCTATAGGATTTTTGTAAAGGTGTTTACAGAGACATGCAATGCCCAAGGTGTCCAAAGGGAGTATAATGTGTTACATTCATTTTCCAGATATGGTCCCATAGCAAACCTCTAAGGTTAATTCCTGTGTTAGGCCCTTGAAGTAGAGGTAACATGCAAGTGGGACATTCTCTGATAATCTGTTTTGCCTGCTGCTGAGTGATTGAGAATTATCTAGATAGCATTTCGGCAGGCTGATGAGATTATGTGGCCTGATTTAATAAAGCAACCAATTGATCAGCATATGCATTTCCTTTGGTTAACAGGCCAGGTAATACACTGTGACCCTTATGTGAGTAAGGATAGTGTCTCTGTTGTCGAATCTGCTGAACTTATTTGAAGAGTAAGAATAAACTTTGGGCACTGAGCCATTTTAAATGAGCAGTTTCAATTCTGTTTACTAAACCTGCAGTGTAAGAAGAGTCAGAGATAATATTAAGAGGCTCTTGAATATCCTGTAATAAAGTCTTAATAGCTTCTAATTAAATTCTTTGTACAGAAGTATGACTAGTTTGGATGACTCAGTCTAATTTTATTGTATGATAAGCAGCTTTGCAATTAGAGGATCCATCAGTAAAAACAGTTAATGCTTCAGGAATATGTTCCTGCCTAGTATTTTTGGTACAATAATAGGGGTATAATATAGAAATTGTAATAATTGTCTTTTAGTAGGTGACAACTAAATTTCCCTAAATATCTACTCAATCCAATTCTCCAATTTAAATCAGTCTGAAATAACATTTCTAAATGCTTTCCAGTGAGGGGAAGTTAAATACATTGGGGTTCTTCTCTAAGCTGTCTGTAGAACTTTCCAAGTTGAAAACACAGATATTTACATTATGATTCATAACAGTAGCAAAATTACAGTTATGAAGTAGCAACGAAAATAATTTTATGGTTGGGGGTCACCACAACATGAGGAACTGATTAAAGGGTCGCAACATTAGGAAGGTTGAAAACCACTGATAGCTCTTTTTTTCTGGAGATTTCTCTTTTTCTTTCATCTAGAGATGTTTCTTTTTCTCCTCATTTTGGCGGCTAGTAGTTTGGTAATATGTATCAAAGGCCTTATAATTTTGTATATTTTGTGGCCTGGCATACCACTTTTTGAATTTTATTATAAAGAAATCATAATAAATAATTAATTTTCTCCAGTTAAAGAAAACCATATTTTTTTCAAGCTTAGTAACACTTATTTTTTTGTGTGTGTGTGTTAAATAGTTATTATTACCTTTATTTTACTGTTGGATAAATTTGGAATGACAGAGTCTGATTTTCCAAAGTAAGTTTTTAAACTATCAAGTTGCAGATATGATGTTTAAACCCAGAAAATATGAACACAGATCCTTCTCCTTTTTCACTTTTACCTACTCTTTGGCTCAGATAGAAGAAAGCTTCAAGGTCTGTGTTACTTTGGAAAATTGTTGGAATATCTTTTGCAAGATTAGCAAGGTATGATGCAAACATGGCAAGAAGCTTCATACCAGAGCACAAATTATTGAAATAGTGAGAATATCCAAATTTCTACTTATTTTCAAAATTAGAATATCCAGATAATATCGCAAGCAGTCTCATCCAGATCCTACAAAAGTGTCACCTATGAAAAATACTCAAAAGTTAATAATAAGCATAGTTATTCATAGTTATTAGGATCCTGTCATTAAGATATCACACATCTTATTGTAGTATAAAGGGCTCAAGTCTTAGAGTAAGGTGTACTGAGTTTGGACTTAGTTTTGCTACTTACTGGCTGAGTGAGTATAACAATGCTCAAGTTACTTAATATAAGTTTTTTTTTTACTTATAAAGCAAAACTACCTATCATGTAGAGTAATAAAGATTGAGATAAAATCCAGATAGCTAATTGAGATAATTATCCAGAGAAAGTTATAAGCCAAATAGGCAACTGAGCTTCAGGATAGGTAACAAATTTCTTCTAAATAATTATTGTTGTGTTTAATTTTTTGTGAACCTTGGGAAATAAATACTTGCTTCTCACTTCTGCTTCCAGTTTTATTTATCCTATTCAGACAAGGAACGCTATGAAAATGAAGAGAGACCTGAGGTCCAAAAGCAGATGCTCATCGATATTGCCAAGAAGTTACCAGTTTACACAAGGACTGGAAGTGGAGGTCAGTTCATCCAAAGTCAACCAGAGAGGCAGATCAACAAGTGTATATGTCATCATATACAGTATATCCTTAGGCTAGCCCTCTTTTGTTCTCTTCTCTTCTGAAAAACACTACGGAGTCTTTCTCAATGTTTTACTATAAAAAGTTTCAAACATTTATCTAAGATGGAAGAATTATACATTAAACATTTGTATGCCCACCACTACAGTCTACTACTAACATTGATCTATATTGATTTATCACACATCTGTTCACAAACTTGTTCCTCTATCCATCATTCATAAAGATTAATTATTTTTGGTGCATTTAAATGCAAGTAGCAGATATCAGTACACATGCAATGAAATATTTATCATTCTTTTGAGGCTGAAATATACATATAAAAACAAACACAAATCATAAATGTACCATTCAGTGTTTCCACAAATGTACACACTCATATAATCAGAATCTCTATAAATATTACCACACACCAGAATGTACTTTCATGCTCCTTCTCAGTATATCTCACTAAATACAGCCACTATTCTGATATTTTCCTCCATATATTAGTTTTATCCGCTCTAGAATTTTATATAAATACATCTATACAGCATTTACTGTTTTGTCTGCCTTATTGTATTCAGCATAATGCTTCTGAAACTTACATTGCTATGTATGTTATTCCCTTTATTGCAGAGTAGTATTTCATTGTGTGAATATATCATAGTTTATTTATCCATTTACAACACATTAATCCATATTTGCGTTATTTTTTCTGCTTAGATATTATGAGTTAATCGGCTAAAAACATTCTTGTACAAGTATTTGTGGAGATATAAGCCTTCATTTTTCTTGGGTAAATATCTACTGTGGAGTTTTACTGTTAGTTTTTATATGCATAACTAGAATGATACTAGCTAATTGTTTGCTTTTTAAAATTTGAAAACTAAGGCTCTTTTTACCAAAACATTCTATTTCAACACTTTAGGAAGTGTACTTTAGTTATTTATGTTCATTTGTCATTTACTTATGTCAAATGGGAAAATTTTAATATGGTCTGTGTATTATTGTAGATGACATTAAGGACTTGCTGTTAATTTTGTTAGAGTATTAATGTCATATGGTGATTATGATTTTTAAGTAAAGTCTTAAGTCATACTAATATATTCTGAAAAGAAGACAGACACAAATTATACAGTTTCAGATAGTAGAAAACAGAATGATGTGATAAAGCAGTGATTACAAAGAAGAGGCATATTGGACGTACTGGGTTTAGGATTATATTTTGTCTGATCTTTGTGTCTGTTAAAACTTTGCATTTGTTACTAATTTTTAACAATTAGAATATTACCAAATGAAAATCCAGATTTCTGGCTTCTCTTGAAAACAAATAATCTGCATTTCTATACGCAGAAATTAGCTAAAGCTGAATAGTAAATCTCTCTTTAAATAGGGTATAGATTATCAGGTTCTGCCACAGTCTTCAACTAGGTTCTTCAGTCACTACTCCCTAATCCTGGACCCTTGAAAAGCATTTTTTGCAGCCTCTATGATAGAGAGTAATAGCACACTTCTCTAAATAATTTGACCTGAGACTTGAAAATAAACAAGAACTGAAAATACAAAACACCCTGGAACAGGAACTAACTTGCATTAATAGAAGAAAAAAACAGATAACCAGAGTGACTGTAGTATTGTAGTAGGAGAGTGGCACAAGTTAAGATAGAAGAAGTAGGCTAAGGCCAGGTGATGCAGGCCATGGTAAGGAGTTTGGATTTTTCCCCCCTAAGCATGTTGAAAATCCATTGAAGACTTTAAGTGGAAAGTGATATGATCTGATTTTCATTTTAACCTGGCTCTTTTGTAGAAAATATACTGTGGGTGGAGGAGGGTCAATAATGAAAGCAGAATGAGTAAATAGACAGCAGTTATTGTAGTCATCCATGTGAACGATGATGGTGGCTTATACTGGGCAGTGACATTTACCATATCTTTAAATAATCAGGCTAGAGAAATAAATAAAAGGCATCCAAATTGGAAATGAAGAAATAAAAGTGTCACTTTGACAGATGACATGATTCTTTATATATAAAACCCTAAAGACTCCACCAAATGCCAAAACCGGTTTGGCTCAGTGGGTAGAGCATCGGCCTGTGGACTGAAAGGTCCCAGGTTCGATTCTGGTCAAGGGCATGTACCTTGTTTGCAGGCACATCCCCAGTAGGGAGTGTGCAAGAGGCAGCTGATCGATGATTCTCTCTCTGTCCCTCTCTCTTCCTCTCTGTAAGAAATCAATAAAGTATATTAAAAAAAAAGACTCTACCAAAAATACAATAAACAAATATAGTAAAGTAGAAGGATACAGAATTCAATGTACAAAAATCCCCTGCATTCCTATACACTAGCAATGACATTTCAGAAAAAGAAATGAAAAAAAAAAATTCCTTTTGCAATTACAAAATAAGTAAGTAAATAAATAAAATACCTAGGAATAAACTTACAAAGGAAGTGAAGGACCTATCTATTGAAAAATACAAAGCATTGTTAAAAGAGATAGGGAAAGACACAGTGAAATGGACAGACTTACTGGGTTCATGGATTAGAAAAATTAAAATAGTTCAATGTCCATATTACCCAAAAGTAATGTACAGAATTTATACAATCCCATTAAAATTCCAATGACATTTTAAGAATAAATACAACAAAATTCATCAGATGTATATGGAACTACAGAAGGAACTAAAAAGACAAAGCAATCATTAGAAAAAGTATCACACTACCTGTAGTATAAAATTATATTACAGAACAAACATAATAAAAAGAAACAAGCAAACATGGTATTGGAAGTAAAACAGATACACAGACCAAAGAAACAGAATTGAGATCCTAGAAACAAAACCACATGTATATAGACAAATACATTTTTGACAAATGAACCAAAAACCTACAATGAAGAAAGGAAAGCCCCTTCAATAAACCGTGCTGGAAAAAATTAAAAGTCACATGCAAAAGAATAAAACTAGAGTAGTGTTTGTCCCAAGTACAAAAATCAATTCAAAATGGATCAAAGACCTAAGGATAAGATCAGAAATAGTACATTACATAGAAGAAAACATACATTAAACTCATTAGCCTTGGTCTTAGAAAATATTTTATGAATTTGAGGGAATTAAAGGCAAGGGACTTAAAAGCAAGGATAAATGAATGTGACTATATCAAATTAAAAGCTTCTGCACAGCAAAGTAAATTGCCAATGAAACAAAAAAGCAACAATCAAATGGGAGAAGATATCTGCAAACAACAGCTCTGACAAGGCTTTAATATCCAAATTTTATAAAGGACTCATACAACTCATAAACTTAAAGGAGCTAAAAGACATGTACTTGGAAATCTAAAGGACATTGAAAAAAGAAACAGATGAAGATACAGTGTATAGCATGTTCATAGATTGGAAGAATTAACATCAATAAAATGTTTAAACTGCCCAAAGAAATCTACTGATTTAAAGCAATCCCTATTAAAATATCAATGGCATACTTCACAGAGTTAGAACAAATACTCCAAAAATGTATATGGAACCATAAAAGACCCAGATAGCTGCATCAATATTGAGAAAAAATGAATAGAGAGAAATAATGGTGTTGGAATAGATAGGCATGCCCCAAGCCTTGTCCCAGACCAAATAGAATGAGCAGCTGAAATGAATAACATCCAACCCAAATTGGCAAAGGAGACTCAGCTGGTAAGACAATTTTCAGCCAGGAAGAGCAGAGGACCCCTGGAGAAGGGTAAAATCAAGCATTTGGGCAAGAGAGTCTGCCAGAACTCTGAGCCCTGAGGGTCAGAGGGAAACCGCACAGCACTGAGCTGCATCCCTGGGTACAGGGACAGTGTCTGACTGTGGAAAGAATGTCCACAGGACTGCTGCAGGCATGGGATTCTCGATCTGGGTCCACAGACATGAAAGGCTGAGCCCAGAGGGGGCCGCCTGAAGGGCTGACCAAACCATGCAGTGCCAGCAGTAGAGGAGCTCATACAGATGCAGTCATTCCCCTCTCTGTGGCCTGTGCTTTTCTTCACTGAACCTAACTCATATGACCTTTAAGATACAGAGGCTTACCCAAGCTTAGGTTCAGGAGAAGGTGCAGACTTGTGGAGTCTGGGGAGAGTTGGGGCCCAGAAGTGGCAGCCAGTCTGGTGCTGAGTCATACCTGAGCCTGGGACCTGGGAAGCCATTTTGTCCTGAAGAGGAAGCCCCTCCCTCCAGTTTCCAGGCAATCAATACAGCCACACCCAGATTCCCTCCTGAATGGTACAAAGGATTAAAAAAAATATAAATAGTCCCTGAGAGTCAAAGGGACTGGCCTAAAGAGAGGTCTTCACTACCAGTAAAGGAAACTGAGAAACTGAAGACAGTACAGAATACTGGGATCTTAAGCTATTCAAAGGAATAACACTTCAGTTTTACATTTATATATATATTTTTGTTTGTTGCATTATTTTCTATTTCTTTTAGTATTATTTTTCCATCACTCTATTTTATTTGTATTTGCTATTTTTTATTTTTATACCATTTAAAATCAATTTTTATAAAATTATTATTATTATTATTATTATTATTATTATCATCTTCTCATTCTTTCTTATCCACTCATCCCCTTTCTACTTCCTTTATACTGAACTGGGGTCCTCCTCATATTCATCCAATTCTTAACCTTATTTTCTGTATATAAGCTCAACCTCTACAGATTCTGCCCCCACCCCTCTTTGCTGGGCGTTTGATGTTTGTATTTTTTTGGTCTATCTATTGGTTCTGTGGTGTTTTCATATATATATATATATATATACTCCTTTTTCTTTTCTCTCTTATCTTTTTTTTCTCTCTTTGATATAATTTGTGCTTTCTTTTCTCTCCCATAATTCTCTTTTCTCAGGTGTTCACTTATATTGGGGCTCTCAGTGTTGTGAGTACATTCATGCTTGGTTCCCTTTGTGCCGTGCCTTGTTGAGGTGAATTT